ATCCTTACAATAGTTTAAGGTATGTCAAGACGAGGTTCAGATCTATTGTTCTTTGAGTCACTGTGAATCGTAGATAACTTGCTGGAATTAACAGCAACAACAAAATCAAAACTATGAATCTACTGGTCAAAGGTTATGTCTTACTCATTTTTAAAAAATTTATATAGCATTCAGTTTATTACAAATATTTAGTATTAGCTTCCCATATTCCCCCCTTTTGTTTTTATCATAATTATGTTATCATCTAGATGATCATCCTTTATACACAAACAAATAAAACAAATTAAACATAATAAACTCAAAGAAATATTTCAAAAAAATTCTCCATATGATCAGAAGGATTCAGGTTGATTATTTCTTGAAAGTTTGTTTTAATTGTCCCATTGCCACAGTGCTTGTCAAAACCAGTTCTGATTAATCTCCTTTGTCAGTGTGTCCTTTGCCATTCCCTAGCAGTCCTCCCTGAGAGAGATTTCATCCTGATTCATAAGGAAAAGGGGATGGTGTATTCTCTTAGCTACTTACTGCTGAAAAGGGACACTGTAGGTTTCAGGGTGAAGATCTTCTCTTACTACTCTAAAAGGCCCCTTTGGCAGTAGAAAACATGTAGATGATTGTGGAGACTGATTTTGGAATTTAGATGCACTGTTATCAGTTGTGCCAAGCCATACATGTTCATATCCTTGAAGATGCATCATGGAACTGTTGCAGCCTAGAAGGCACAAATTTCACTAACAAGTTAAAAGTACATGAGTCAAAAATTAAAAGCCATAATATTCCAAGTAGAGGTTCTAACAGTGGCACAAATCAAGTTACAGAGGGAAGGTAGTTCTTAATATAAAAGGCTTATTGACTAGCACTTTGTCTATTATAGTATAAAGGTTAGGAAACACAAGATGTAGGGGCTCAACTATGTCATTTATTGTTCTTAAGTCCTGGACCAAATTCCATCTACCACTGGGTTGTTTTACAGCTCGGAAGGCCACATGCAAGGCAGCGGTGAAGTAAGGAAGTGCTTATGAAGTTTTCTGTCAATTCCAACAACTAAGAAAGAATGAGAAGAGTTGGGACCTCAGAAGGCTTTTAGTACCAAATGATAGGCTCTTGTGTCCAGGAGAAAATGAATATACTTACCAGTAATGTTAATTCTCACCCACAACTCTTCTGAGAGGATCTGAATCATTGAAGCATCCTTATTTGTTTCCAGCTGGGAGCAGGGGACTGTCAGTCCTGTCAGCCACGAGGACCTGATGTGGGCCACCCTTGGCCAAGTGTCCTTCAGAGCCACACTTAATGCAAGTGAGTGGGAGCTTCCTCTCTACTCTTTTGCCTATCTGTGGCTCTTGTCTGTGACACTGTCTACTGAAGTGGCTCAGCTTTCCACAGTGGAAGCAATTCTGACCTCCTTTATTACCTTTGGGTAGTATTGTTTATGAGTAAGACTTCCTTTTCCTGACACAGGCCCTAAACTGGCAGCAATAGCTGCCCCAGTAATCTTGGCCTTTCTCTGGTCTTTTTTCTTCCCTCTAGATGCCAGTTGTTAAAAGAGGGAAAATTTTAAACAAATATATAACAAATCATTTTGAACAGTATAATCTTTTAGGTTTAAGGCTAGAAATATTATCAATAGGATAATTTCAGTTCCTATTTTCCATAAATGGTTTTCGTATGAAGAAAATTTTAAGTGTGGATACAGTTCCACTATTCCTCCTCCATAACATGATATAATGTTATTAGCATGAGCAGTTATAAATCCATTGCATTCTGTACTCTAACTTAATTTTTTTTATTTAAATGTATTATTGATTTCAGTAAAAATTTACAGAGACTTTGTATTTCCAGTTATTCATTGTTGCACAATTTTCCCTCCCAACTCCCTCCCCCCTGCCAGAATACTACCCTCTTGGAAAAGTAAAAGAAAAATTATTTCATTGTTTTACAAAGCCTCCCCGAGTTCCACTCCACCATGTAGCCTTCGCTCTAGACTCCTGTCATGACAAAAATGCCTAATCACATATTCCCTTAAACAGTTTTCTCTCTCATCTGTTTCAATGAAGTGTACATTATTGGACCCATCTTTCTCAGTATTTCCCCAAACCCAAGGTCAGTCCTGTTTTACAACAGTGGCACCATGCAATATTTGTCCTTTTGTGACTGGGATACTTCACTCAGCATAATGTCCTCCAAAGTCACCCATTTTTAATAATATTGTATGAGTTCCTTGTTTTTCAATGCAGCATAGTATTCCGTTGTGTGAATATACCACAGCTTCTCTATCCATTCCTTTGTTGATGGGCATTTAGGTTGTTTCTAACTCCATGCTGTTGTGAACAAAGCTGCAATAAACATGGGTGTGCATTTATCTGCTTGGATGTCAGTCATGGTCTCTTTAGGGTATATTCCCAGTAGTGGAATTGCTGGATCAAATGGTGTCTCTATTTGCAACTTTTTGAGAAATTGCCATACTGCCTTCCACAGTGGTTGCACCAGCTCATTTTTTTTAAGAACCCCAGAACACTTACCAAAGTCCAAAATAAATTCTAGATATTAATAAATATTTATTGACCAAGTAATGCCTTCTGTACAGGAATTAAGATCATCTTAAATTAAATGTATTCCAATTTTTTTTAGATATGAAAATGCAAGAGTCGATAATGTAGTATGTACCTAAATTTTATTCTTATTAGAAAAGCGCAACCTTAGTGCATTGGTTAACAGTATTCACACACAGTCATGTGCTGTGTGGACATCTTTTGATTCTAAATGACAGAAAACCCCAAGAGCAAGGGTTTAAACTATATGGACTTTTTGTCTTAAGAAGTTGGGAGAAAATAGTCCCAGGGCTAGTTTAGCAGCTCAGTGATGTCATGAGTGTCTGGCATTCTTTTGATCCTTCTGTCACCATTGTCAACTTGTTACTTTTTTGATCTTTACCTTACCGTCTATAATCACAAGGTAGCTGCCCTCTCTCTGGACATCAGAAGTGCCTCCAGAAAGAGAAAGCTGTGATGACCAGCCCTCTGAAAGAACTTCTTTGTATGCTTTTTTCCTGGGGAAATGCATGTTCCCAGAGCTAGCAGACTTCCTTATGTGTCTAACTTACAAAAGTGGAATCACATTGCATTTTTTATGAGACAGGCAAATGAATAGAGTTTGGGGAATGACAACTAATTAAAACAACAGATAATTTCAGAAATAGAAAATAGACCGAAAAAAATTAGAGAATGTGATCATGAAAAGAGGAGAATTTTACTACTTGTACAGCAATAAAGTCAGGGAAACAGGATTGTAAGAACGTTTCTAAACAGGTTGTTGATAATATTGGGGTTACACAGTAACATATTCAAACAGAAGTGTCATCAGCTTGGAGTTATTTTTTGAAAAAGCAATGCTGTTGTTAGATGCCATCAAGTTGGCTCCAATTGCAAGTATCTACTGTATCATTAACCCAGATGTTACTTGGCCCTGTGCCATTTTTGTAATTGTGTGTTATGTTTGAACCTATTGTTGAAGCTACTGGGTAAGACCATGAAATGAGAAACTCCTTCTTTTTTTAAAAAAAATTTTTTTAAATTTTTTTTTACAGAGGTTTTGGATTTCCATTCATTCATTGCTGCCATTTTCTCCCTGCCCACCACTCCCCACCAGCTCGCTTCCCCCTCTGAAGAGAGAAAAAAAATTCCTTCATTAGTATACAATTCCCACGTCCCTTCCCCCCACCCCCTACCCCGAGTACACTTCTCTATGCAACCTTAATTCTGGATTCCTGTGCTAACTATAATACTCAATCATATATCACTTCTAATCTGTTCTTTCCCTCATCTATTTCAATACAATATACATAATGTATCCAGTTTTTTCTGTCATACCCCGACCCTGATGTCAGACCCATTCTACAACAGTGGCACCATGCAGTATTTGTCCCTTTGTGATGGAGATATTTCAGTCAGCATAATGTCCTCCAGGGTCACCCACTTTGAATAATATTGCATGAGTTCCTTGTTTTTCAATGTTGCGTAGTATTCCATTGTGTGGATATACCACAGCTTCTCTATCCATTCGTTTGTTGATGGGCCCTAAGGCTGCTTCCAACTCTTTGCTATTGTAAACAAAGCTGCAATAAACATGGGTGTGCATATATCTGCTTGGATGACAGACTTGGTCTTTCTGGGGTATATTCCCAGTAATAGGATTGCTGGGTCAAATGGTATCTCTATTTGCAATTTTTTGAGAAACGCCACACCGCCTTCCACAATGGTGGCACCATCTTACATTCCCACCAACAGTGAATAAGAATTCCAGTTTCTCCACATCCTCGCCAGCATGTGTTGCTTGCTGTTCTGTTATATTTTGCTATTCTTACTGGGGTGAGATGATATCTCATAGTTGTTTTCATTTGCATCTGTCTTAGAGCTAGGGACTTTGAACATTTCTAAATGTGTCTGTTGGCCATCTGAATGTCTTCTTCGGTGAAATGTCTGTTCATATCCTGTGCCCATTTTTCTATTGGATTATTTACCTTTATCTTATTTTGGTGTTCAAGTATTTTATAAATTCCTGATATAAGTCCCTTAACTGACATGTCATTACCAAATATTTTTTTCTCAGTCTGTGGCTTCCCTTTTTACTCTATTGGAGAAGTTTTTGGGTGTGCATAGGGATTTGATTCTTAGAAGGTCCCTTTTAATGATTCCCTGCTTTACCAAGTATGATATTCTTCTCTAGTAATTGAGGTTTTCAGGTAAAATTTCCAAAATGAGACAGAGCCTCACAGTCCTTGCTTCTGAATAGTACTCTGACTCTCATGGTCCATGACTGATTTGTCTATTCCAGTGAATCTGTGGTATATTAAATTCAACAAGAGCAATAGGGGAACATAATTAAATCTTTATTTTCCATAAACATGAGAGAATTATTATTAGACTTTTCTAATTTTTGGAAATCATAAAAGCTTTTTATCACAAAGCAGTTGTTTTAGGATGTTGTTCTTCTTTTTTCAGGAGTCTTATCCAAAGAAGAGGAGCTTCACTATGGAAATTGTACCACCTGCTTCTCTGGATACATTTCCTGCAGAAAATGAGACCTTCCTGTGTGATCTCACGGACACAGCAGTTACAAAGAAACCTTGCTCATTAGAAATAGCAAGGGCACCTTCTTCAAGAACTGGTATTACATATATATAATTTTTTTGGTACTCATAATTAGACTAGTTCAAATTGCATGCTTGTATATGTGAAAAGGTTATCATTAGTATTTTTTTTCTAACTGTATTACGGCCCACATGTTATCACAGTAATACTTTTCACAGTTTGAAATAAGCACAGGTAAGTTAGGGGCATTTTTCTTTTAACTTACCACAAAAATGTCACATGCACTGAAACTGCCTTGGTGAAGAAACTTTGAAGCCATTTGACAGTGAAAAAAAATCTTCTAGATCAAATTCAAAGCTATGGGTCCTTCATGATTTCATAGCAAATTTGCAGGCAAGAATTGGTTTTTGTGCATACTCTTGGCTTCCTAGTTAACGTTCACTTAGCGCTGTGTGTGTGTGTGTGTGTGTGTGTGTGTGTGTCTGTATATGGCACATGGCCAGGAGAGATTGGTCCTTGGAGAAGGGCATCATACTCAGAAGAGTGAACAGACAGCACAGGAGAGGGAGACACAGAATGAGAGTGATTGATACAGTAATTGGGACAATGGGGGTTGAATGGCGGGGTTGGTCAAAATTAGTGAGAGTGGCTCAGGACAGGGAAGGGTTCAGAGCTACTGTACTTAGGGTCGATATACATCGCAGTTAACTCAGTGGCACCTAACAACAATAACATACTATATCAGGCTTGGAAGCAGGAGTGGCATCCACGTCCTAAATTACATGCCTCTGGAAACTCTATGAACTTTGATAAATGTCGATGATTGTAGAGAGGCTTCAGGCGTTTTTGTTCATAGTGTCGGTATGAGTCATGCTCGACTCAAAGGCAATCGACAACAACAGCCATATATATTTAAGATAGAAAGGCTTTATTTGAAGAAACTATTGACTGTGTAATATGTTTTTAAATAATGAAAATTTGCACAGATTTTGGATTTCCATTCATTCCTTGTTGCATTTTTCTCCCTGCCCAGCCCTCCCCCCCAAGTTCACTCTTCTCTTTGAAAAGTAAAAGAAAAATTCCTTCATTGGTATACAATACCCCTGCTCCCCCTGTGTAATATATTTTTATGGAAATTTCAAAGGTATAACTTTATTCCTTTACGTTATTAAGCAGTGAACAGGGCAAGACAATTATTAACTACCTTAGGCTAATAAGGAGATTGGAGTTAAGTGTTTTATATCATTAACAAATGATGGGGCCTGGGATTTAACAAACGTATTGGAGTGTCATCAGACCTGCTTGTCATTACTCCTCTGCAGACTCTAAGAAAAAATGCTGGGTAGAACCATGGAAGCTAAGAATGGAGGAAAGTTTCAAAGAGTGTTCAATCAATGAATCAAATATGTTGTAAGGAAAAATGGAAATTCAATTACTGCTTACTTTTTAAAAAGTAACTTTTAGAAGTGATGTAGTAAGACAAGCTTTGGAAATTAATGACACACTAGGGAATAGTATATATGGAGTTGAGAGTAAGAGCACAGATTATCCTTTCAAGAAGATTAAAAAGATGATGCACATGGGTAACATGAGAAGAAAGCAGGTGCAAGAGCAAAGTGAGTAGTTTAAGATAAATGTGGTAATGTTGAGAGGTTGTTGGGAAAGATATTAAAGATAAAGAAGAACAAAGAAAGCAAAATACATAGGACTTAAAACTGAGCTAACTTTAGAAAATACAGTGTTTGCCAGAAAGATAATAGTTTAAATTACAGAGAAATTCTGAAACATGGATTTACTTTCTTGGTTATATGAGAGCTCATGGCTGAATGGAAGAGCTAAATCTTGAGAAGGGTTAAAATATTATGCAGAGAAATCATTTTCTAAAAAGCTAGGGAATTGTGTAGAAATGAACAAATGGACTTTTGAGTAGCATTGAGGGTAAGGTGTGGTATGAATCCTATGGGTGCTTCAGGAAAATTTATTTTAGTGAAGTAAAATCATAGCAATTAAAATAGTTTAAAACGTTTATTTTCTATTATTATAAACTATAAGGTAGTAATTTTATTATTTGCCTTTTACCAATGAGTAAATTGTGAAGCTGAAGCTTTAAATAACTATCCAAGTTTACATGGTAAAAAGGAAGAAAGTCTGTAGCTTTCACTTCATTCTTGAGAAGCTAAAGCAAAATGTAGAACTGATGAAGTGAGAAAGAGCTGAACAGAGCCATTCAAAAGGCAGCTTGAGAGGACAAAGCAAAGTATTATAATGAAATGTGCAAAGTTACAAAACCAAAAGGGAAGTTAAAACTCAGTATTTATCAAAGGGAAAGAACCTAAGAACAAATTCAAGCCTTAAGGTGCATTACTCAGTAATTCTATGGACAAATTATTGAATCATAAGAGAAACATCAAAATAAGATGGAAGGAATGTAAGGAGTCACTGTACCAAAATCAAGGACTCACTGTAGCAAAAAGAATTGGTCAAAGCTGAACCTTTTCAGGAAGTAGCATATTATTAAGAATCAGTAGTAGTAAAGGAGGAAGTCCTAACGGCACTGAAGGCATTGGCAAAAAATAACTTCTCAAGATTACATCGTACTAAAGGAGAGATTCCGTTACTTGCTTTCCAACTGCAGAAAAGTAACCAGACTGCTTATGAGAGGCAAGGATAGTGAGAGTCTCAAATACCTTGAGCATGTTATCAGGAATGCTAGTCCTTGGGAAAAGATATCATACTTGGAAAAGCAGAGGGTTCACAAAAGAGAGGAAGACGTTCAATGAGACAAGTGGAGACAATATCTTCAACGATGACAAGCTTCTGCCTACCATCCAAAACTGACACCACGGAGAAAGAGGAAGTCGAACCCACACTAAATTGTTGCCAAATACTATCATTCACTGGTGTGGCGTCAGTTCTGACTCATGCTGTTGTTGTGAGGTGTTGTTGAGTCCAGTACGACGCATGAGAAGCCTATGAACAACAGATCTGAATTTTGTCCTTTCCTGTGCCATCCACATGCTATGTCATACACTCAAGACCATTGTTGCAGTCACTTGCTGCTTGTTGCAGTCCATCTTGTCAAGGATATTCTTCTTTCAGTGACCTTCCACCTTTCCAGGCATGATGTCCGTTTCCAGGGAATAGCCTCTCTTAGAAACATACCCAGAATACGTGTGATTAAGCTTTATCATCCTTGCCTTCAAGGGACTTTCCGACTTTACCTCTACAATACGTACAAGTTTTGTTTTTTGGCAGCACGGGGGATATTCAGTACTCTACTCTAGCACTGCAACTCAAAGATAGCAACTTTTATTCTGTCGTCCTTATTCATTGTCTAATTCTCAGATGTGTAGAAAATGATTGAAAAAGACCATGGCTGAGCTCCCCAGCTGTGTGAACTTTCCCAGGAGCCGCAGGATCAGAGTGGAAGGACCAAAGGCGGGGTGAATTCCCCTCTAACTGATCTCCTTATCCACAGTGAACTTTCCCTTCAGTCCCAGGACAAGAGAGAAAGGACCAGATGCCATGGCTAGTTGCCCTCCCCTTCCCTGCTCTGTTGAGATCCCTAAATGAGACAAGTCTTCCCATAGCTCAGGGTTCAGAAAGGTCTTCTGGCAGGATAGTGGACCTGTGAGCTTCCCAGACATCACTAGACCCTGGACTGATGAGAATTGCAGACAAGAAAAACTTCATCACAGCAGTGACATAGAAGAAGCAAACTACCTCACTTACCATACAAAATCAAAGCAAAATATGACAACAACAACAACAAAAAAAAACCCAAACACAGAAGCAGTGGATTTCATGAAGGCGGACAGTATATCCAGCTTCATGATGTAGAGTTCAAAAGGACAGTGGTATTATCAGTGGGTGAAAAAATAGCTTGAAAGATTGCAGGAATCTTCAAGCAAAAACAAAAGAGCAAGATAGTGGAATGACATATGTCATACGCTCAAAGAACACTGTCAACTGAGAATACTGTACCCAGCAAAACTGACCATCAAGTATGATCAAGACTTTCTCAGAAAAGCAGAAACTAAGGGAATTTGAAAGAACAAGATCAAAGTTGCAAAAGATACTAAAGGAAGATTCTCCCAAAGAGCTGCCACAGAAAACTGGATGGATCAAAATAAACAGAAACAACATTAAAAAGATCCCAACAAAATTGTGGCAATAAAAAAAATTGTGGCAATAAAACTTTGCCTCTCAATAATTGCATTGAGTATGGATGGTTTAATTGCATCAGTGCAGAGAAAATGAGTAACAGATTGGATAAAACACCAAACCCTAAAAATATCCTGTCTACAAGTGATACAACTGAAAAGCAAAGATTGTTGTTGTTGTTGTTGTTGTTATGTGCCATTAATTGGCCTGTGACTCAGCAATGCTGTGTACCTTGGCTCTGAACCCTGTCCTATCCTGAGTGAGTCTTACTGATTCTGACACACCAACCCCTGTTGCCCCAGTTGCCGTATCAATACATCTCATCCTCAGTCTTCCTCTTCTGCACTTTCCCTCCACCCTTCCAAACATGATGTCCTTATGCAAGGACTGGTCTCTTCTGACCATGTGCCCAAAGTATGTGAGACTGGTCTTCAAAATCTTAACCCCCAAGGAGAAACTTGGTTTCACTTTCTCTAAGACAGACCTTTTTGTTTTCTTGGCAGTCCATGGTATGTTCGAGCCTCTTCTTTGGCACCACAATTCAGAGACCCCGATTATTCTTCTGTCATCCTGAGCCATTGTCCAGCTTTCTGATACATAGCAAGTAATTGTGAAGACCATGGCTTGTACTAGGTACACTTTAGTTATAGACACATAGATCAGTGAAATAGAATTGAGAACCCAGAAATCGACTTGGCCTATGGTCAAGTCATCTTTAACAAGGAGACAAAATCATTAAGTGGAGCAATGACAGACTCTTTTTACAAAGGATGCTGGCAAATTTGGAAAAAGATCTGTGAAAAAAGACCCACACTTCACACCACTTACATCCCCCCCCAAAAAAACTCACAAAAAAACCCAACAACAATAAAAAACAAAAAACCCATCTGAACATGGATCAGGGACCTAGAA